CGACACCCCGTACTAATACTCACAGAGTGCGACACCCCATACTAATACTTATACAGTGCGACACCATGTACTAATACTCATACAGTGCGACACCATGTACTAATACTCATGCAATGCGACACTATGTACCATGGCAACCATTGTCGTTCGCCATTTTTTAAATTTAGCATTTACGTTGTCTGGTATTCATGATGCCCTTTGTGTTCTATTTGTCTAATTTTGCTAGTTGTCTGCCAACTACCATGTCGGAGCGCCCAATTACATCACGCTGTCATCTCCGCACTAATTTCTTTGCTTCCTTTCAATATCACATCCCCGCATCACACCATGAACATGGCACACGAGGCTGCATTGCGGAAAAAGTACTGCGCACGTCATCACCTATGCACACATTACACCCCACGTGCGCACCACTGTACGCATGAGTGTTTGCAAGGTTTCTAGCGCGTCCCGCGACCGACCGGGCCTTCTGCTCGCAAACGCTCACGCGACGCTGCTGCTAACCATTTTCCCGCCAGACGGCCAGAGCCGCTTTTCAAACCCTCGCAGATGTCGAAATGATATATGACAGGAACGGATTTCGCCGGCCAGGATCGCTCGGCACTGAGCGGCGGAGGCGCTGTAGCCAGAGAAAAGCCGCTTACTTGAAAGCCGCTGTCGTGCATGCCCCGTCAAACGACACGTAAAGCAGCTGTGTCGGAGGGCCAACGGCGGTTGAGTGTGACGGGATGGCGGCCTCCACTGGTACCGGTGCCGACACCGCGTGCCGCCCTCACCCCATCGGTCCAATGTCCACCGCCTGTGGTACGGAGTGAGGGCGGCATTGTCCGTAGACAGTGTCCATACTCCAAAGACTGTCCATGCGTCGAGTCGTCGGTTCGTGCGCCTGACCGCGCGTGGGCGCTCCGTGGCCTGTGTGCGGTGCCGCTCCGTAGTCTGTGTGCGGTGCCGCTCCGTGGCCTGTGTGCGGTGCCGCTCCGCGGTCTGTGTGCGGTGCCGCTCCGTAGTCTGTGTGCGGTGCCGCTCCGTGGCCTGTGTGCAGTGCCGCTCCGTGGCCTGTGTGCAGTGTCACTTCGTGGTCTTTGTGCGGTGCCGCTCCGTGGTCTATGTGTGGTGCCGCTCCGTAGTCTGTGTGCGGTGCCGCTCCGTAGTCTGTGTGCGGTGCCGCTCCGTGGCCTGTGTGCAATGCCGCTCCGTGGCCTGTGTGCGGTGTCACTCCGTGGTCTTTGTGCGGTGCCGATCCGTGGCCTGTGTGCGGTGCCGCTCCGTGGCATGTGTGCGGTGCCGCTCCCATCTTAGCATCGGCTGCGGCTGCAGTAGCGTATGTCGACTACGGCTTGTGCTCCCGGCGCGAGACGACACAGCGCACTTCTGCTGCTGCACCTGTAAGCACTCCGCCCACTGTGAGCACCAGTTGCCGAGCCGTGCTCCCGACGAGCTGCGCTCCTGCCGAGCCGTGCTCCCGCCGAGCTGTGCTCCTACAGAGCCGTGTTCCTGCCGAGCTGTGCTCCCCCCGAGCTGTGCTCCTGCCGAGCTGTGCTCCTGCCGGGCCCGAACAGGCCGATTCTCAGTTCTTTTAGTAGGTGCGCCGCGAGAAAGTCACGGCTGGGCTCCTCTCCAAAAGTGATCATAAATGCAGTTCTTGTACTTGAGAGAGGGACGGATAGGCTCCTCTCAACACATTGTCGGAAATCCAGTCGCAGAATTTAGCCATCTGGACCCACAGCACCAGCGATAATTGGTTGTAGCACTTATCCAAAATGCGTGCCGATGCATCGTTTTCTCTTAGGTTTGATAAGACACGTAATAGGATGCAGCTGATTCATATAGTTTTCATTCATTGCGGAGGTTTATTTGCTTAACCTGCATTTTGTTTACTAGTGCTCCTAAAAGAAACCAGTTTACCACCAGTACGGCGACCTCCGGCTGCGAGTTGGTTCGCTGTCGCCTGGCAACACCTCTTCCCGACAGAAGATTTCGACCAGAATAGTCACGCCTTTGTGCCATTGGCTCCAGGGCTCGTCAGTTCCGAAGTCGAGAGGTGCTCAAGCAGCAGCTGACCCCGTGACCTCGAACCTAGCGCAACGCATGCTTTCGTTCGACCCGACTGGTGCAAAGACAGCTAATTTTCCGCGGCGTCACGAAAACCCGGTCAAAATCTGAGCGCTGGCGACACGCTCATAAACGCCCAGCGCCCGGTCACGAATGCATTCCAAGCGCAGGCGCGATGCGCGCGATTCTGCAGGGGAGCACGATGCTCCGGCATTGCGCAGGATTTCGAGCGCCAGCTAGGCCTGGTTGCAGGTCCAGCTTGCGGAACATGCGATAAAACTGATATCGCCAGGCACGGCCTGACGTCTGCCCGGCCCGGCACTCGGCACTGAGAGACGTGCGGGCAGCCTTCCCGTCCTAAGACGTAGACGTCCACGGATCCTTTGCCCAAGGCACCACCGGGTCTATCCGGTGCGCGGGGCGAGTCAACAGCTGAGTGTGAGACCCCCAGGCCGGGTGCACCAAGGCGCACGATTGTGACAGACAAGTAGGGGAACAGCCGCCTGAGCGATGGACACCGCGCACAGCATTCACTTTACTACGCGAGACACTGACTCAAATCAGGTGCGATCAGACGCGGCGCTGCGCCTCTGACCGTGACAAGGTTGGACGACACTCTGCCGGAACAGAGTGTTCTGTCTCAGCCGACGGGAACACAACCGGGTCAGATCGGCTGGAGCGCCGGACTGCATCCCGCCGCCACGGCGTCAACCCCCGACATGAGCCCACGGCGTCCCGTACCGGAACCTGCCGCACGACCACGACCCGTACCGGGACCTGCCGTGCGTCCCGTTCCGGGACTTGCCGTGCGTCCTGTACCGGGACCTGCCGTGCGTTCCGTACCGGCACCTGCCGTACGTTCCGTACCGGGACCTGCCGTGCGTCCCGTTCCGGGACTTGCTGTGCGTCCCGTACCGGGACCTGCCGTGCGTTCCGTTCCGGCACCTGCCGTGCGTTCCGTACCGGGACCTGCTGTGCGTCCCGTTCTGGCACCTGCCTTGCGTCCCGTACCGGGACCTGCCGTGCGACGCATTCCGGACCTTGCAGTGGATCCCGTCTCCGACCCTACAGTGGATCCCGTCCGGGGACGGCCGCGTGATGTGTCCCATCAGCGGCCGACGCCCGGTCCCCGGTGTCAGTCGCCGCTCGACGCTAATTTATAGTGTGCACAGGTTAATGACGCGGTGGGCGCGTATGCCATCGGCATACGGCTGCCTCAGCCTTTGATGAACGGTGCGTGGGTGTGGTCGATGCCGGCGGCCCAGGGGCGCACCCAGGGCGGGGCAGACTCAGACTCCTGTCAACCGCGTCTAACCGGGCAGGTGATGTGGGTCCCACGTGACGCTGGTTTCTGCAAGAGAGGTTTGCGACGTTTCGTTCCAAGCGTCGGGCACACACACACACACACACACACACACACACACACACACACACACACACACACACACACACACACACACACACACACACACACCAGGCGTGCCCCATGCGTGCAGGTTCCGGCTGATTGCGTGCGGGGACAGGGATCAGGAAATGTGCATATCGCGTCCCCCGAAAGTCACTGTGGCTTATCGGAGGCGGTCACCCCCCCCCCCCTCCCTCCTGCAGCGGTGGTATCGAGTGAACGCGGTGGCCGCGGCTAGTTGTTTATCTCGGCGCAGCTCGCGGCGGTCAATGGCCGCTGGACAGTGGCGGAGAGCAGCCGCCCGTCGAACAACACCACATCTCAGTGCCGGCCTGCCGGGTCGACCCGTCGCCCCTGCCCGCCCTCTCTGAGGAGCGGCCAGCGCCCAGCCCGGGGCGGCGTCTAGCCGGAGGGCACCCCAGGCGCACGAGCTGGAGCAGCGCCGACGCTCACGGCAAGGCTGAAAGAAACGTCGCTGCTTAAATCCGGCAAACAGGCAAACAAACAATCGCGGACTGCGCGCGTGTCTCTGGCCCAACGCTGGCCTTCGAAGATTAGACTGTTCGTCCTGAGTTATGGCGGGCACGCTTAGTGCTTGCCTTCGGGGTGGAGTCGATGTTTCATCTGTGAAGTAAGGCAAGTGTCAGTGGAACAGCATGTACACGACAGTTTTGCGCATGAAATAATCGGACCCGGAATTCAGAAAAAACAGACTGGCATAACTCATTGTCCAGCCCACAATGAATATTAATTTAAACATGCCGTCCTACTTTGACTGATAACATACACAAGACTATCAACATTTATGTTATTGCTTTGGTATATTACTGCCTTTTAATAAAAACAATGCTCTTCTTAGGGCTGCACGTCGTATCGAACTATACCTCTGCGCCGAACTATACCTCTGCGCCGAAACGTGATCGTTCGGGATCAGTTCCGTCAGGAGCGATTTCGGAGCCGTTCACATTGTCTTCAGTTGCAATCGCGGCCGACCCACATCAGGGCGACATATGAGACATCCTTATTTGTCGATTTTCTTCTAGGTCCGGCGCGTTCGTCGTCGCGCGGCAAGGCGCGCTTCAGTAATAGCTGCTCTGCCCACGTCAGCACAACCGGACCTGACCCCACGCGCCGTGCGAGGAAGCCTGAATGGGTTACGCTGGCAGAGAATCAAACACGGCCATATCGCTAGAGCATGCACGAGCATTGTGCGGCTAATAGCCTCCGCTGAGCTGCCTCGTCAAAGTTCGGACGCCTGAATCGACCGTCGCAGGGCCGGAGGCGGTGCCAGACAAAGTATGTCCGGCCCATATCGGGTTCATAGCCGAAGTTGCCGTGTTCACATGCGTCGCGTGGAAGGATATGTAGCGAAACGCCCATGGGCGGACACAGCCGATATGCCACTGCCAGCCAAACGAGCCAACTGCATCAAACAATTAGCACTGGCTTTCAGGCCCCCACTTACCCGCCTCCCGATGTGTGATGCTTCTCCGTTGGGCGTGAATGCGCCGTGCCAAGGCGAAATGACCCCTGGGAAAGGGGC